GCCATCCGGGAAGAGGATAAGCTGTTGTTCCACGATCTAGCTGACCTGCCCGACTCCGCTCTGCTCTCTCGCACCACATAACCACTTGCCAAACCAGTGATTAAAATAGCGCGAGGCGAGCCGAGGCGACAAGGCTCCGATTTGCCATGGCGTGAGGCGTGCGGCGAGGCGCCCGCCTTATGAAAGCGAGGCGAGCAATTACGGAAAAAATAAAATATATGTTCATGTGACATTTTACCAAATTCTAACCCAATTATGTATATAAAAATAAATTATAATAGCTAATAAACATGCAACAAAACACCACACATTAAAATAAAAACAACATTAAACAAATTAAAAAAAAAGATATAGCATTAACCCACACGATTCCAATTAGAATAAGCATCAACCTACCTCACAATCCCACATTATGCCAAATTCCCAATTACAATAATAATGTAATGTCTACTGAGTATTAAAAAAGAAGCCAGTGCTCCACATTCATAAATAAACAAAATAAATAATAAAAATAGAAAAAAAAAAACATGTTAAGCCCAGTCCCCCCCTCCCCCAAGTTCGCTTTTCATCCCGGTCGCTACTGTCAGCACCCCTGGCCGCCGGCGACGGAAGTTTAGCCGGAGCCGGCGACTATTGGTGAAGAATGACTGAAGCAAGAAAGGAAAAAAGAAAGAGAAGAAGAAAAGGAAAAATTGGAGCATGTACCGAACACGCGTTCGCCGGTTAGCTGCCGGAATCTGGTCGCCGTCGCCAGTGGAACAAAGGACACATGGTAATTTTGTAGTTTGGTAAGTAATTTGTGTTAGTTGATAAGTTTTAATCTCCCGTAAAGGAAACCCTAGGTATAAAAATACCTAAATTGCTTTGTCTCGCCTTACCTTCATAAGGCGTCGCCTCGCGCTACGCTGCGCTACATCCGAGGCGACGCCATGGCGTCGCCTTTCACAAGGTCGCCTCGCCTCAAGGGTATGAGGCGTTGAAGCCTAGCCTCGCCTCGCCTCGCGCCATGGCGACGCCATGGCGCGCTATTTTAATCACTGTGCCAAACAACATTACAGGTTAATCGACTAAGAAGAAAAAAAAAAAAATGCTTTTTCTCTCATCTCATCTACTTTCTACGTCTTATTGTGACTTGTAAAGTGCTTTTCTTCATTATTTGTTGTTGGATACACTTACTTCATTCTTTCAACTTTGTCCTAATAACAAATCCTAAACACAACATTTTAATTGAAGAGATTTTATACCAGGGGCCTACATAATTTAGGAGATGTTATTCAAGATATATTTACTAATAAAATGCATCAACAAAGCAAAACTTGTGCCATCTATTAGTCCCAGTTAAAACTCTTCCATAACCCCAGACATTCCCTTTTTAACTACACGGTTTCCACATACAGTAGTAAATCATGATATCAATGGTAAACTGTGCGCACATCTTGACCCGCAAATAACACCAAACTAGAATGCTAAAAGCTATGAACAAAACAACCACATGGAGGAAATGAGACCTTTTAAATATTATAAGAAAACGCTATTCCATGCACAAGAACACCCAAATCACATTCCAAAAACAAACTAAGGCTGACGGTCACCTTAACATCATAAGCTAACCAATGACAATCAAGAGCAACTGTTGTGCTTTCTTTGAAGATTCATTTACACGAAAAAACTCTCTTTCCATCCTGATGACCCCAAAGCAACTAGAGAAAAAACATAAGAAGACGAGCAACATTTTGTTGAAAAGAAAAAGGAGACTAGTGAGCCAGTAACAAGCGCACGGCTACGTAACGAAAAATAGTGCCATATAATATTATCCTCAATTTCCCAATGCCTACCAGTCTCAGCCTGAACAGCACCCAAATCTCTTCCAACCAGACGTGTTATCTTTGATGTTAATTGTTTCCCCTTTAGATGGCACAGAGGAAGTAGCAGCTTCATCTCCGGCCTCAACTGTTTTTCTGCTTGTAATCTTATGAATCTGAGAAAGGACTTCAGTGAATGCGTTATCCACATTTGTAGCTTCCAAAGCAGAGGTCTCCATGAAGTAGAGAGACTCCCTCTCAGCTAATTCCTTGCCGTCCTCGGTTGAGACTGCCACAAGATGCCGAAGATCTGACTTGTTTCCGATGAGCATGACCACGATGTTTGGGTCTGTGTGTTCCCTCAGCTCCCTAAGCCATCTCAGAACGTTCTCAAAAGTAGGACGGCGTGTGACATCATACACGAGTAATGCACCAACGGCACCTCGGTAGTAAGCACTAGTAATGGCACGATATCTGATGAACCCAAAAATTATTAAAAAAAAAAGGAAAAAGAAAGAAACACACAATTTTCCACGAGTCGTTGCAATACACATAGGCAAGTCACTCTTCCTAGAAGATTGGCAAATACTAACATTAGGAGCTGTGCAAGACAAATGAATAACTATAATAAAAATAACACCACAAATAGGACAACCTCCCACTCTCTACCTACCTTTCTCTCTATACATAAATAGGTATATATTTTTGCATTCACTTGTATTATTGTATATATTAGTGCATGAACAATTCAGCCTGCAAGAAGAGAGCACAGACAGAAGGGCTACACTACAACGGATACAATAAAATAGA